GCTCAGGTCATGATCTCACAGTCTGTGCGTTTGAGCCCCTGTCTGTGCTGACAGCTCAGAGCCTGAAGCCTGCTTCAGATTTTGTGTCTCCCTCTCTCTCTGGCCCTCCCCGCCTCACGCTCTGTCTCTTTCTATCTCTGAAAAATGAATAAACGTTAAAAAAAAAACTTATGATATCAATCTTTAGGAGTGAAATTACTTCCACGTACAAGTTTTGTTTTGTTTTTTAAGGTGTATTCCCAATAGGGAAAGAGCCGCAGGCTACATCTACATTGGTGCAACCCTCTCATAGGGGCTGGTCACTGGCCTTGAAGCAGAGAAGGGGGATGGCAGTCGCAACACCCAATGGCAAGAACCAGAATCAAAATCATCCAAAAACAAAACAAAAAGGCAAAGATAAACTAAACAACTTTCAGGAAAAAAGAAATCAGAGAGAAGGGCGGGTCTGGGTGGCTTAGTGGGTCATGGTTCATGAGTTCAAGCCCCACGTCAGGCTCTGTGCTGACAGTGTGGAGCCTGCTTCGGATTCTCTCTCCCTCCTTTTCACTGCTTCTCCCCTGCTTGCTCTGTCTCTCTCAAATTAAATAAAAATAACTTTAAAAAAAGATGAGAGGAAAGCACCTCTCCGAATTTTCCATTTCTCAAGAAAGCTGTTTTAAAAGATTAGTCAATTATCTACACTTTCTTTTAAATGAGTGGTCTGAAAAAATATATGCCATCTGATCAGATACTGATTAAGTTCTACCTTAAAAAGAAGAAACATCTATTATATATACATAAAATGTTTGAAAAGAGCTGTATGGAGGCAAAAGTTCCACATAAAAAGGAAAATTCCAATTGAGTATTGAAGCAGTCACCAAGAGGATTGAAAACATGGAAATAAAGATGTACAAAACAGGGAAGGAAACACTTTTAATGCAAGAAGACAGGGAGGTGTTCAAATATCGCCTTATAAACAGAACAAAATTAATAAGCAAGAGTATAATTTGAAGAATGCTTCCCAAAAAATTGGTTATGAGAATTGGGTCCCCCTCAACCTCCCCAACAAAACCATATTTTGAAGCCTTAACTCCTCGTACGTCAGGATGGGACTTTACTTGAAGGGAGGGTTTTTGCAGATGATCAGGTTAAGATAAGGTCACTAAGGTGGGTCCGAATCTGACCGTGTCCTTATGGACAGGGGACATTTGGACCCACAGATGCACACAGAAGGAGAACAGTGTGAAGACATGGGGAAAATGGCATGTGCAGGACTGGAAAGATGAATCTATTCACCACGGAAGGCCAAACATTGTGGCAAGCCCCCGGTGGTGGGAGAGAGGCAAGGAAGAATTCTCTGACAGGTTTCAGAAGGAACATGGCCAAGCCAACACACCTTGTCTTCAGATCTCTGGCCTCGAGACCTGGGAAGGAACAGATTTCTCTTGTGGTAAGTCACCTACTTTGTGGAATTCTGTGACAGCTGCCCTAGGAAACAGATACGCTGATATAAATACAAGAATTAAAAAAAAGTTTCTGGTTTTTACCAAAACATGAGACAATTTCAAGACATGTTTTCCTTAAAATTATTAATTTGGAGGGCTCCCAGGTGGCTCAGTTGGTTGAGTATCCAACTTTTTGATTTTGGCTCAGGTCATGTAATCCCAGGGTCATGGGATGGAGCCCTGAGTCAGGCTTCGTGCTGAGCGTGGAGCCTGCTTGGGGTCTCTCTCTCTCTTTCCCTCTGCCCCTCTCCCCAACTCTCTCTCTCTCTCTCAAATTAAAAAAAAAAAATATATATATATATATATACACACACACACACACATATATGGGCACCTCAGTGGCTCAGTTGGTTAAGCATCTGACTCTCGATTTCACCTCAGGTCATGATCTCACAATCATGGGATCGAGCCCCACGTCAGGCTCAGTGCTGACAGTGCAGAGACTGCTTGGGATTTTCTCTCTCTCTCTCAAAATAAACTTAAAAATAATTACGATAAAAAGCTTTAAACATTATTGACTTTTCAGGGATAAGAAAAATAAAGGTTTAAGCTATCCTCACAAATTTGGATTTTTACGAGAGTAGTAATGCCATTGTAAAACAAATTAGTAAAGAAAAGCATAAGGAGAAAAATAGGTCAACTGCAATTGCACAACCACATTTCTTTCCAGACTTTTCTTTATGCAGTAGACATACCACACAAATGCATGCACGTGCACAGGCACGCACACACACACACACACACAATTTTCACCTGAAAAGCCTCTCAATTTTGATTCCAACTTTCTTCCCCCAAATAATTCATAATATGAATCAATCCTCATGATATAAGAAGTTGCCCATATGATCAATCAAATGGGTGTTCTATGATATTTAGAGCTATTTAGACATCAGGGCATTTGGGTGTTTCCAATTGATGGTTACTATGACCAACTTCACAGTAAAGGTCTTTGTCCAACCCAGTCTGGGTGCCGCTCCCTAGATGCCCACCAGACCGCCTGTTAAAGCCTCTGCTGATCTCCTCAGTCCTCCAGTCTTCGTTTCAGACACTGAGTCCTTCTGAGGGCTGACAACTTTCGGAATATGGCCATGAAAGTAAACACAGTGTAAGGGCATTGAAACTCTAGGCTTTTATAAATAAAATTTGGAAGCTGGTGCATCAAATGATTTGGGCAACACAGTGGCAGGTTTTTCATTCCTGTGTTGATGAAGACGATGGAACTTTGCAGTATCACAGAGCAAATATTTCACAGCGGTGTTCTTCTAATGGTTCTAAACAGTTCTTCTACCATGTTTTTTCCCCGGTGGGAAGTTGGGGTCAGGGATGGGAGAAGGTACCTATACACACCCCTCCCTATAAGCCCCTACTCTTGGCTCGCACTTAAAAATTCTTATCTTAACAGGACTCTGGTCATTCAGAAAAACTAAAGCGAATGATTTTAAAACTCATGCTTCATAGGAAAGCACAAACACTTTTGAAAGAAAAAGTCTGTGATTTTAAAATATCGAGATGTAAGCCACCTAAGTCAAAGTTGTCTAGGGTCCTCAATAATTTAGTCAGTAATTTCTTCCAGATTGGAAAGAACTGCTGGCTTAACATGTGGAAAGCCATACAGGTACAAAATCCTCTGGCTGTAAAACACAGATAGTCCTTGGGGACTGCCCCTCCCTTACCCAACATGGGAGTATTCATACAAGTTAAAAAAAAATGTGATTAAGTGGGAAAATATTTAGCTATAATGCATCTTTTAGTCAACATGAAAGCATTTATGCTGGAGAAACTCCACAAATGTAGGAAATCGTAGGACAATCTTCACTTGTGGCTTGCCTTTGAGTAAACTGGAAAGCTCACACTGAGATTTCTCTGAAGAAACCCTGCGAGGGCAGACAGTGTGGTAAACTTGCAATTCCTCCCTCTCTTACCAGAGGACACAGTCTAGAGAGAAAATCTTAAAAAGCACTCACTGCAGAAAACCTTTTAGTATCAAAAGACTCCTGGACAGAAACCCTATTTCTATAATCCACTCAGAAAAAGCTTCAATCGGGGGCCCCATATTATTGCGTAACCTAGAACTCACGCAGGAGGGTAACTTTTCTCCACAAAGAACTGAGGATTAATGTAACAAGGCATCACCGAATGTAAAGTTGCTTCTGAATGAACCCCATCAAGTCAACAGTATTCAAAGGTATCCGTAAACAAGGATGCTCATGGGGGGGTTGCTGGATTGTGTTTTGAGAAGGCTGAACTAACGAAATGCATGCATCATTAGATGCACATATTCACATTGTGGTTATAATCTTGTTAACATTTTAATTCACTCAAGAGAAGTTACTGAGTGCCCACTGGGGACCACGGACCCTTATTAAGACCTTGTGGCTAGAGGGGATTTCCAAACACATGTGCCCTTGGAGTGTACATGCTTGTAAGTAGGTGGCTTAGAACCAGAGACAAGTTCTGGTTTTGGTTTTGTTTGGGGGTTGGGTGGGGGGCAGCCAGGCTGATAACCCATTACTTAAGTCAGGCTGTATATATGTACATAATCTGCTTTTATATGGTATATCAGAAGAATCTTTCCATGACAATATGGACCTGCCTTATCCTAAAATTATAGGTGTTAGTGTGGTAGAAGTGTTAAGGTACTAATGTTTAAAATAACAATCTGAGTTAATGACAGAGTAATGAAGCACAATTGTATCTAAGTTGATGCAAAAACCCACTGGAGCTGCTAGATCGTTTTTGTTACAGTTGTAGGATTCTATACAACCACCTGCTTTTACAGAAGTGCTAAATTAGTGCAAAGGTCCACATACCCAGTTGTCAGAAACAAAACATCAAGTGGCTGCTGAAGACAGGGAGAAGTTGGTCTTGGAAACATCATGGCAGGATGGAATTCTTCCACAATTACAGGATTAAAGGTTGGCATAAAACCTCGATTTATGGCTGCCATGTTGCTTTTAATCCCCACCCCAACCCGCCAATTTGATCATCTCTAATTCAACACATTATGCTACGTGAATATTCTAAGTGTAGAAAACATTTTTATCAGCACAGCATCTGCGTAGTCAAAACCAATATGGAAAGGAGGCATCCGGAAGGGTGAGAGAAGGGGAGAACAGAACACTACAGGAAATAAAGGGGATTAAGAGAATTTATAAAACTAAAAAATTCCTGGGGCGTCTGAGGGGCTCGGTCGGCTAAGCGTCTGACTTCGGCTCAGGTCATGATCTCGCAGTTTGTGGGTTCGAGCCCCACGTTGGGCTCTGTGGTGACAGCTCAGAGCCTGGAGCCTGCTTCGGACTCTGTGTCTCCCCCTCTCGCTCCCCCTCTTCCACTCACACGCTCTCAGAAGTAAACATTAAAAAAATTTGTTTTTAATTCCCTTCAAATGGATTGGCTAGGCCAAGAAAGAAAATTCCCCAAACTCCTTTTTCAACAAGTATGTCACGAATGTCAATTAACGTTTGACTTTATTATAGGTTTTTCAAATAAAACAAAATATTGAGTTTTCAGATCAGAAACTTTTTACATTATCTTTATTCTCCAAACTTGGTATCAAGTTACAAATGAATAGTCTGTACCATGAGGCCATGTTGCTTCTTTATGATGTACACTTCCCCAGGCGGCAAACAGTAATAACCAAGAATACAGAGAAAATGAACTCGCAGTGAATAACCAACTGTTAAGTATAAAGGACGCATTACATTTCAGTGTCCAGTATGTACACACTTAAAGTGGATCCCCTTTAAAACGTCACAGATGTACCTAATTCTCTTACAAAAGAAACAATTCACACAGATTTTTAAGTTTTAAAGTTGTATCACAGGGAATAACTGCTTAAAAACTGTAAAATTTATGATTTTACCAGCAAAAAAGTCATTCCAGGATAATCTATTTTTAAACATGGCTGAAAAAGCTTTAGAGAACACCATGGGTATCAGAGCCATTATTTAAAAACAAAGCAGTTCTTATAAAGTAGAGGCCACTTTATTTTGTTGTCAGTAAAAAAATTTTTAATAAAGTTGAGGCTAAAAAAATCTCAACAAGGGAGGTGGAGGAGGAGCGCAGTTAGCCACTAATCTGCCCTCTATTACCCACTCGACTTACTGTAACAGGAAAGGCTGAAGAATTCTGACGTAACTTCTTTCCAGAAAACAAGTTCTTTGGAATCATTCTTTTAGGACCTATAGTCCATTTTCAGATGTATTGGAGTTAGTAGCTTATTTTGCAATTCTTCAAAGTTTTTCTTCCCAGGCATCTCTTGACTCAGCCGGCATTTTTTTATAATAAAATTACCGTTTTTTGGTTTCTAAACCAATCGTTTTTTTGAAACGGTAATATCAAAATATATCATTTTAAAAATATATCAAAGAGTATTTTGTTTCAAAGTGGATTAAGCTCAATTTCACACTGTGCTGTGGCATTTGACATCTGGCATTTGAGATTTTAGGACAAAGGAATTATAAAAAATAAGAAAAATGGAAGTACATGCAAATTAAACCAGCCTTCATCAATGCTTCTGAAAAGAAGCGACTTTTATTCAGAATCAGTGGTAAGCTGCATACTCCTCAGAAGCTGTTTCAAGTCACAATTATATCGCTCTCTCCATTGAAGCACTGAACCTTTTTTTCCAAATACAACTTCTCAAAAGCCATTTGAGAGCAGTTATACTAAAGATCAAGCATCAGAAACAGATTCTCCACCCGCCCAGACTTAATTTTTAGATTGCAACATCCTGATATGTTCCGTTTCATTTCTTTCATAGTTTAACGTCTTGGCAATTTCCCCAGATTTTATGAAAATTTAAACCATGACAAGGAGAAACGCACTCCAAACATAAAATAGACACAAATACAAGAAAAGTTCAAAACAGAACGCCGTATTGCAGTATCTCTGAATATGACGCATATGTGACGTGAAAGCGAGCTACAGGGCCCTGGGTCTCAACACTCCCCCTCCCCTACAGAGGTCTACATTGTTAACTTTCCCTTTTTTTTTTCTTTTTTGTCTTTTGATGCCTAAAGTAACTGAGAAACAAGAAAATAACCAATATGATGTAAAAAACACAGTACCTTTATTTTTAAGTCTTGACTTGAACACCTCTTCCTTCGTTGGTGCAATATTACTCTTGATAACGCTCAAGCAACAACAAGCAAGCAACACACACAAAGACTATGTATTCACACAAGCAGTGTTTCTGGAATCATAAATAACTCCTATGGCAACATAAAAACCTACAAATTAAATTGTAAGTCACCTCGGTATAAATTAAATTCTCATGTATCTTAGTAAGAATGCCAGTATCAGAAGCATTCTACATGTTTTCATTTTCTGTTTCACAGAAAGGGTAAGGTGCTTTTTTGATAAGCTGCCAACAGACACTGAGACACACACACACAACCAGTGCAAACAATTAAGAGGGAAAAAGTCTTCATTTTGAATTGAGACAGGATTACACATCTTGACTAAAAGTACAGGAGTGGCTAGAATAATTCTCCAAGATTGATGTGTTATAAATATAGACAACTCAGTGTACGTATGGTCGATGAAATAGATTTCTATGCTTTGTGTTTTAAATTCCACTCCAACTTTTACCATTGCTTCCAACTCTTAAAAAAAAAAAAAAGCTTAGATATTTTCCTATCTTCCAAGCCACCTAGAAGATCCTGAACATTCTGAAGGTGAGCAACTGGGGACTAATTATCCATTGGGCTACACCTGCCGTGTGTTTGTCTTCACTACCGAGCCTAACATCCTAGCGCTAGTTTGTGTCATGCAGCACCAACCAAACTTCTTTGTTTCCCTAATAAAAAATAAATATATAAAGAAGACGCTGTCAGGCATATATTCACAATGTCTCAATTTCTTAAAACATAAGTGTGGGTATATTTATTTCTCTCAAATGCATACAAGACAATAATTACACAGCAACAGATCTTTTGTTCAACAATGATTTGATTCAATAAGCGTCTGAATTTACATAATTTCACATCCATACCCTTGCATTTTTTAAATACTGTAAGTAAAAAAAGCCCCCCAAATAGCCAATTCTTATATTTCCTATTTATCCCTCTATACATCCAAACTTTAAAAAGTTACAAACTCAAACATTATACAGAACATATAAATCATGTTTAAAAACTTGAGGTTTTAAAATCACCGTTCCCCAAAATGATTCCAAAAGTCCTCATGCTGACAAGGGCAGTCCCAGGTGGGAAGGTAAGCTGGAAAAAGGGGGAAGAAAGAAGAGACAGACACCAGTTTGCTGTCTTAATGTTTTACTAATCCTGTCAGTAAAAATGGCGACGTCATGAGAAGTAACAGTTTAGGTTTTAATATGAAGAACGGGGTTTGCCTCACAGCTGGAGACATGCACTTCAAGTATTTTCCTGTTTGATCCGAGCTCCCTGGAGCAGCCCAGGCTCAAAGAGAAGAGCTACTTTCTTCCATACATTCGCTCAATGTCCGCCTGGTAATGTGTTTTAAGCTCTTTGCGTTTCAGCTTGAAGGCATCTGTCACCAGACCAGTTTCGGGGGTCCACGGTTCAGGGCTCAAACGAATTTTTACTGGAATTTCAAATTTTTCTAGACTCGCTGAGTGGGGGAAAAAGAAAAGAACAAAACAAAACATAAATGCAAAGGGATGAAAAATGTACAATTATAATTCTTAGCTAACAGTTGAACTTCCCCAGTCTTTGGGCATCCGGCAACATACACAAAACCAACATCTCCGAATCTCACCTACAATAATCCATCCCTCCCTCAAAAACGCTAGAAGTAAAAACAAACAGACAAAACATAGGTATGTATGAGAATTATAATAGAAAAAGTTATTTTAAAAAATCCATCTGACCACCAACAGAATGAGTTAGATTCGGTTAAGATATCGGCATATAGGGCGCCTGGGTGGCTCAGCGAGTTACCATCAGATTTCAGCTCAGGTCATGAGCTCACAACTCACAATCAGGAGATGGAGCCCTACATCAAAAAGAGGGAAAAAAAAATTGTTATCTTTTCAAAATTAAAACTCTTGTACTTCAAAGGATCCCATCAAAAAAAGGAAAACACAGGGACGTGTGGGTAGCTCAGCCCTTTAAGCGTCCTACTCTTGATTTCAGCTCAGGTCACGATTTCAGAGTTCACAGGATCGAGCCCCACGTTGGGATTCTGTCTCCCTCTCTGCCCCTCCTCCACCTGTTCTCTTTCTCACACACACAAAATAATGTTCAAAAAGTAGAAACAACCCACAGAATAGGAAAAAAATATTTACAAACTGCTGACTGGATAAAGGCCTTGTGTCTGGAGTATATAAAGAACCTGTACAACTCCATGATAAAAAGGCAATCCCACTTAAAAAGTGGGCAAAGGCTCTGAACAGACATTTCTCTAGAGAAGAGATACAATAGCTAATAAATACAAGAAAGGATTCTCAACATCACTAGCCACCAGGAAAATATAAAGCAAACCCACAAGACACCATACTTCACACCCACTCGGATGGCTAGAATCCAAGGGATGAACAGTGGCCAACAAGTACTGCGAGGCCGCGGGGAAACGGGAACCCAGCGCTGGCGGGAATGCTGAGGATGTCACCATTTTAGAAAATGGTTTGGGAAATCTCTGGGAAGAAATATTCGGTAAACAGTCTGGCACTTCCTCCAAAGGTTCAACACAAAGTCAACACGGGCCCAGCAACCGCACTCCTAAGTACCTTCCCAAGGGAAGGGTGCGTGTCACACAAAACCTGTATCTGAATGTTCAGAGCAGCATTATTCACCAACCCAAAGCAGAACCACCCAGACGTCCCAGGCTCAGTGGAGCCTGCCACCCCCCCCCCCCGCCCCGCCCCGCCACACAGAGACTACAGGGCCCGTTCAAACACACACACAGAGTACAGGGCCCATACACACACACACACACACACACACACAGTACAGGGCCCATACACACACACAGTACAGGGCGCGCGCGTGCTCTCTCTCGCGCTCTCTCTCTCTACTGGGCCCATCCGCATAAGCAATTCCCAGGACAGTAACAGCGCAGAAAACGCAAGAGAGTCTTGGGACAGTTCAGGGTGGCCAAGAAACAGCTGAGGGAAGTAGGGCAAGAAGCTGCAGAGACCAGGACCTTCCGATTCGCGCACGTCAGCCGCGGGAGCAGGTGACAGGGGCGTCCCGTGGACACGCCGGGATGCGGGCCTCACCAGCGTGGGCCTCCATCCAACAGCAGGGCAACACCAGGAAATGGCGTCACACGAGCCGTGGGATTCAACAGCGTAAGGAAATTCAAGCGCTCTCGCCTCTGAGTCCTTAGAGTCGGTCTAACACTCACTCACCTGAAACAGCAGCTTCGGAAAGCACCTTGAGCACCTCGTTCTCCATCTCACAGCTGTTGCACAGCTCCTCCCACGTCCCCTGGAGCCCCTTCTTCCGGGCGAGTTCCGTCAGTTCCTTCTGATTTGGCACGACAAATCCGATGACGTAGGAATGGTAACTGCGATACAGGAAGGACAACGCGGCTAAGGAACCGAGCTTACCAAGGTCACGGACGCTGCTGTAATCAACCCGGGACCGCGTGAAAGGACACATGCTAAGCGTACTTGGTACTTGCACAATTATTCTACGCGACGGCCACCGCTAGTGCCTGACCCATCTTGGGCTCCAGTGCTCGGGCAGAGCTCGCTGTTAACACGCCCTAATCTGAGGCTTCATGACAAATTTCAGACATGTGCGACTAGTTATCAATAGTTCCACACATACATCTTTTTCAAAAAATTACAAATATTAGAAAATTCTTTTAAAAAATTAACAATTCACATCAACTGGCTAAACAAAAACAAAAGCTAATGTAAATTAGAAGATACATCTAAAGATGGGGCTGGGGGGTGCTCAGTCAGGTAAGTGTCCGACTTCAGCTCAGGTCATGACCTCACAGTCTGTGAGTTCGAGCCCCACGTTGGGCTCTGTGCCGTCAGCTCAGAGCCTGGAGCTGCTTCAGATTCTGTGTCTCCCTCTCTGCCCCTCTCCCACTCGTGCTTGCTCACTCTCTCTCTCTTTCAAAAATAAACATTTAAAAAAAAAAGTGTCTAAGAAAATTTGGCAGCAAATGAAAGTAATGTGGTTATATTTTTTTATTTTGTTGCCATGAGAATTTGGTGACTGAGCCTGAGGTGGCCCACCCACGGCGGTACGCAAGGGCAGGCAGCGCCAGGGGAGGGTGGTCTGGTTACTAGCACACGTGTGAAACCCAGAACTGCAGTATCTAAAGAAAACACCCTTTAACAGCTAATTAAAGGGCAGAGTCATTTATAGTTCGGTGCAGTGCATCTTCAAAGTCCCTAAAGTTTCTAAGTTGGCTTTGACAGATTCTATTTTTTCATACTCTCTATTTTATCAACTGCAGTGGTGAGGTTCCTAGGCCGCCCGCAAAGCAGCTGACCGTGAACACCGGAGAATAAGCATCCCACAGAACACCGCGGTGCCAGGCTCGGATTCCTGCACATTTCGCAAAATTACATTTCCTGGGGGTTTTTTACTTTAAACTCTCCTCCCCAGCTGCCTCTATTATCATTACAGACTAGAAATGCTATGTGTGAGGCCACAACCTAACGTCGCTTAAGGCGGAGCCCTGGGCCCGGCCCGGGCGCCAAGCAGGCCCGAGGCTGGAGCAGGAGAGCCGGCGCTGAGCCGAGTCCGGCTTGCTGACTCGGCCTCCCCAGCCCCCGTCTCCCCTGCGCTCCGCCCTGGCCTGGCTCTGGGCAGGCTCCCGGTGCCGGGCACAGGCAGCTGGGGCGCCGGGGCAGCGGGAAGGAGGGCGCGGTTCTCTTCAGCTCCCTCCCACCCAGGACACCGCAGGGCCACGTACAGCAGGAAAGAGGGACACAGAGGCAGGCAGCGGGAGAGCACAAGGGAGGGCTGAGGGTCTAGATTAGGCCAGAAGAGGCCTTTCCCAGAGACGACAGAGAAGGAGGAAGAGTTCTTAGTATAATTTGACCAAGAAGATTCGTCTAGGAAGGAAATGCCAAAAGCGCACAAAACATTTTAAGTGAAAGCAGCGGCAGGAGTCCCACCTTCTTACCTGTTCGCATACGCACAGATATTATCTATGAGTGACAGGTTCTTCAGAGCTGCCTCTACTTTCCCAAGAGAAACATACTCTCCTGCCTGGAGTTTCACAAGGTCCTTTTTACGATCTGGGGAGGGGGCACAGGGCAGACAGGAACACCGTTCATACAGACGAACGCCGGCCCTTCCCAGTCATCTGCTATTTGTTCAGGTCATTACAATAGTTACGCTAAAAGTGAAAGTACACAGTAAAACGAGACCCTAATTTCTGTACTATTAAATAAATTCTTTAGGGGCGCCTGGGTGGCTTAGTTGGTTGAGCGTCCGACTTTCGCATAGGTCATGATCTCGCGGTTCGTGGGTTCAAGCCCCGCATCGGGCTCTGTGCTGACTGCCAGCTTGGAGCCTGGAGCCTGTTTCAGTCTGTGACTCCCTCTCTCTCTGACCCTCCCCTGCTCACGCTGTCTCTCTCCCCCTCTCTCTCCTAGAAATAAATAAAATATTAAAAAAAAGAAATTAAATTCTTTCAAAAAAGAAAATTAGCTTCTGAATAAGGGACCCCTGTCATCAGGGCTTCTGGTTTGTTCTGCCAAACAGCTATGCGCCCGGGACACATTAGCAGCAGGAAGGTAAAGAACGCTCAGCGCCAGCTGCAAGCCCACATGCTACCCGCAGGGCAGCATGAGGCGGGACCACATCACATCAGGACGTATGGCCTCTCCTCTCTGCTGATTTGCAAAGGTTCCTACAAGTGAGGCCTGAGCGCAGTCCTGAGGGAAGTCCGCGGAGTCACCAATGGAAGGGCACTGGTGATGAACAGACACGTGTCCGCTGGAATCACTGCGGCACAGAGGGGAGGTCACCGGGGGTGGAGGGCGACCTGCGGCCCCGCTAACGGAGGCACACTCAACTCAGCGCCCAGGGGGCGACACGGCCCGGCGAGGTCAGTGCTGGAATCACAGTACGTGAGAGGCTGCGCTGAAGGAGGGACTTCAACGTCAACAGAGAGGAATTTCTTGCAACAGGGCGACAGAAGGTGCAGGCCTCGCCACGGGAAGAGGGCGGGGAACGAGAGAAGGGCCCTGAAGCACGTCGCACAGGGCACGCCAGCGGGACATGGGGAAGGCACGGGGACCGGACTCAAGAGTTTCGTCTCCTCCCAGGGTTCTGGGTGGCATGACCAGGACAGAAAGGCGATGAACTGAGGAGAAGAATGTAAGAGGGATGGGGAGGAGCTGTGTTTTGCCCCGTGGGTCAATCCTCGATCTGCCAGGCCTTCCTTATTCTCACACCACGACCCGGGTCCAACAGGAGAGAGCCCAGTGCAATAACCTCTCGACAGCAAACAATGCACGAAGCTAAATACTTCCTGCTAAGAATTTGATTCTTTGACGGTTATCTAACAATTAAAAACACCACTGCTACTGAACAGATTTTGAGACCTTCTAAAATGTCAAGCCTTAAACCTTCTACACAGTCCCTGTTAAAAAATTTTATTCCAGGAATGAGACAACAGACCACAGCAACACTGAAGAAAGATACATTCTCATATTACTGAACAGCTTCCCCAAATATGCAGTTATCTCTTTTGTGAAACTATTTCGGAAACATCTACTATCGGGGAAAAAAAAACAAACCATTAGACGGCTCACCAATAATCTTTAAACAGCCATCAGGGTCAAACTCCCCAACATCCCCGGTACAGAGCCACCTCTGTCCATTTTCATCTTCAAAAAAATCAGCTTTTGTTTTTGCTTCATTTTTGTAGTATCCCATTGTCACATTTTGGCCACCAATAAGAATTTCACCCCTGGGGTGTGGTTTATCGGTATTAAAGTATCCACCTAAAAAACACAAATTATTTAGAATTAATTCAACATTTTTATCCGTATATACATCATGTGAAAATCTGAAACTATTAGTTTCTATGTAGCAACATCTGATTTTAATCCAATGAGAGCTTCCCAAAGGAAGTAAGGCAGACAGTAGAAATGAGCAAAACCCATTAACATAAAATGAGGTACAAATTTTCAATTGCTGAACCATAAGCACTTAGACATTTAAAACTGATATTCTGAGGAAAATAATTATACTCAAAAATCCAACACTTGCGGCATTAAATAACTACCTAGACTACACGGGTAAACTCCTTTAGGGATTCTGTAGAGCATCTCATATATCTGATGAAAGTACTAAATCATGTATTTAATAAAACACAGCTCTGTATATAAAATCAAATTACACTATATTTGAAAGATTTATGCCTAACAGATGATTTCAGAATGATTCCAAGTTTAAATTTATTGAACATTTTCATAATTCTGCTAAAAAAATAAGTGGAATATGACATTAAACCCTCAGAATCTTTATGTCAAAAAAGAAAAGTGCACCTAACCCAATCAGTGATAATGTATACACACTGACTGGAACAAATAAAATTTTTAAAAAGTGATTAGTACTTAAATGGCATGAACAACAGGTTTTTATGAAATTACAGTAAAAATTTCCTTCTGATGATTCTAGATTGACATCCTCGGGGAAAAGAAAAGAAAAAAAATGTAAAAATCTTCCATTTCCCAGATTACATTTCATGGTTTTGCTTCTACACAATAAATTTATGATCATTCTAATCTATTGACATTATTCATTTAGCAGATTTCAAGTTTTTGCCATGCTTATTTGCATTTATGTAGTAAGACAATATCCAAAATGAAAACAATTCTATTTCTTCAGAATCATCCCTGAAACAAGCAAAATAAATGCATTTACATGGTTCCAGATAAAGCAGTTCTATCACAAAGACACAAGCACTCGTGGATAATTTTGTATTCTAATATAAGGAAGAAAATGAAGCACGACTCTCATTTTAAGGTCTGACTTTACACCAGTTGATGCTCTGTGGGGAGTATTTACCTTCCTCCCAGTTCTTCAGTTTGATTTCACAGCAAACTAATGGTGCTCCCACCCGGCCGGTGTTGTAGTCCCACACTAAGATGCAAACGAAAACAAGTATTTGATTATAGTGGCTAATAAACGGTCTCACTTTTCTAAATTACCAAAAGCGATGATTTATCCCAAAGCTCTGACATCCCCAGAGAATTTTTAAAAGCAGGAGTCCCAAACTGGTAAAGCACAAGCCATGTGGCCCACACAGAGTTCTGTGGTTTGACTCTGAATTGGTCACTGACATCTGAAAACCAAGACACTACACAGAAGCGTGGAATCTCCAGGAGAAACAGGGTCCACATTCCCGGCAGCAACAAGTGGGGTCTGTGAGACGGCCACGCCTGCTCTGGGTCCCCCAGACCCCTCCCTTACACCCACCGTGTATCTTCTCACCTCGGGGCTCACTCCGCTCACGGCAGTGGCTGACAGCTTCTTGAGTCTAGGGCCCCGATCTTACAAGGATGATGGCTCACAATGGTTTAAACCTATTCTTTCTTATTAGACCTGACGGCTTTGTAGCACAAATAACCTCTCCTACCTTCTCCCTCCCATCCACCACTATTTCACAGAGAGCCTCTCTGACACCAGCGTATGCTATCACCTGTTTAAATTCATGCAGGGAGAGTCCAGAGACCAGGCTGGAGATTAAGGGTAACTCACAAGGATCTGGGAAAAGCATACACTACTACTGTGAATTACTGCTGTGTTATGTTTCCTCTTCAGGGACATTCAAATATCACACATAAAAGGCTTATCATTAATACTTTATAGGTTGTTTTATTTATAACAAATTGTAACTGATTAATCACATTCAATGTGAATCTTAAAAACAGAAGATGTAAGGATGCTCAGAAGAAAGGAAGCAGAAGTACAAGTATTTAAGTTGCCTGTTTATTTCCTGCAAAACAAGACTGAGAAGTAGCTTCCAGAATACAGAAAAGATCACTGAAAACAGAAAACTACAGAAGTAATGCAAGATAAACCTGACATAGGAATGGACCACTGAAACACCTCAGCCAAATAAGGGGAAATGATCAGTAAAGAGCTTGAGTATCTATCAGTACCTAGAAAATACAAAGCATCTTTTCCTAGCAGTGACAAGCAAAATAATGATCCTCCATAAAAGGGACAGAGGCACCTGGGAGCCACCTGGATAGTGGACTGCCTCCTCGACCATGTCACCGTTACATGGAAATTACCCTGGAATTGATCTTCTCATATCCTGGAAATTATATCTTCCTGAACTGAATCTAGTTTCTCACAGACCACTCCCATAAACCACTTCTGAGTTCAAGCTTTTATAATATACACACCTAAACAACTACACAAAACATGCTTATTTTCCTACACAGAAGAATTTATTCGCTGATGTAAGAAAATAAATGTCTCCAAACAGCCAATGCTTGGTACTACAACTTCTTTTCCAGAACACTAAGTAGCTTCTAAACGACACATCGTAGTCTAACAGGAAAAACTCCTTTAATTACTGACTATTGGATGTACCTGATACAGCCTAAATACGGTATCCATAGTCGCCATTATCCTGCACACGAATAACTTAACCGCTCTCCTACCCACCGCAGGAAACGACACCACCACACGGTGCGGTGTGGACGCCACCAACCTTCCGTGATCGTCCCGGCCCCGGAGGACTCCGTGAGCCCGTAGCCCTGCCCGACGGGACAGCAGAAACATATGTTCATGAACCGCTGTGTGGCTGCAGAAAGTGGGGCACCTCCACACAGCAGAAGCCGGATGTTCCCGCCCAGCAGGCCGCGTACTTTTCGGAAAATAAACCTTCAAAAAAAGAAAAAAAAAATTAGAAAATCACAAGATTTCAAAGCTGAATGGGATTTTCCAAAGTAGTCTCCCAATTTTGATATGTGAGATTTTGAGAGTCAGGCTCACCTAAGGCCAAAAAGCCTGTTCGAGAGATTCTCTGGCCCACTATTTAATTGTTGTAAGTTCAACCAAGTAAAGAACATAATGGTTTTTTTTTTTCTCTTAAGAACTTTTCAAGTAATATGTGAATTCAAAATTGTCAGGTGTATAGTGACGGCAAATCCTTGCTTACGGCCAGAGCAATTTAGTTTTATATTATGTAATACACATTAATACTGAATAATCCTGTTGTATCTTAACACAATGCTTTTAATTTAGCATTAATGTTTATTTTTGACAGACAGAGACAGCATGAGTGGGGGAGGGGCAGAAACAGGGAGACACAGAATCTGAAGCAGGCTCCATGTTCTGAGTTGTCAGCACAGAGCCTGACACAGGGCTTGAACACATGAACTGTGAGCCGAGGTTGGTTGCTTAACCGACTGAGCCACCAAGATGCCCCTTAATCCAGCATTAAAAGCAAATTATTTTGGGGGCACCTCGGAGGCTCAATCAGTTAAGTGTCTGACTTCAGTTCAGGTCATGATGTTGTAGTTCATGAGTTCGAGCCCCACTTCAAGCTCTGTGTGCCTCAGCTTAGAGCCTAAAGAAGCCTCCTTTGGATTTTGTGTCTTCCTTTCTCTGCCCCTCCCCTACTTGCACTCTCTCTCAAAAACAAATAAACATTAAAAACAAATTTTTTTAAGCAAATTATTTTTTTTACCTTACTTTTTCAGAAATGTGTTCATATTTGTATAACCTAACTCTTTTTAAAAATTTCGCTGGATTCTAGAGTGTCTATTGTTGTAAAATGTCTGCTAAATTAATGGGGCACCTGGGAGGCTCAGTCAGTTGAGTGTCCAACTCCTGATCTCGGTTCAGGTCACGATGGCTAAAGCCACAGGTAGGGTTCCAGGCTCCATGCTGAGCATGGAGTCGGCCTAACATTCTTTCTCGCTCCCCCTCTCTGACCTTCTCCTCCAATTGCATATTCTCTCTCAAATGAATGAATGAATGAAAAATAAAATGTCTGCTAAATTAAAAAGAAAATAATTCAAATATCTAATTAAAATATTTCTGAAAATACACTAATAAAAAGATTACTTGCTAACCTTTATCAAAAAGATAATAAGGGTTGTTTTTCCTTCTCCCCAATATAACTCTGGAAAAGGTGAAAACCAAGCAGCAGTTATTTTAAAAATTATTAACAGGGGCACCTGGGTAGCTCAGTTGGTTAAGCGTCCGACTTCAGATCAGGTCATGATCTCACAGTTGGTGGGTTCAAGCCCCGCATCAGGCTCTGTGCTGACAGCTCAGAGCCTGGAGCCTGCTTGGATTCTGTGTCTCATTCTCTCTCTCCCCCACCCCTGCTCACACTCTGACTCTTAAAAATAAACATTAAGGGGCGCCTGGGTGGCTCAGTCGGTTAAGCGTACAACTTTGGCTCAGGTCACGATCTCACGGTTCGTGGATTTGAGCCCTGCATCGGACTCTGTGCTGACAGCTCAGAGCCTGGAGCCTGCTTCAGATTCTGTGTCTCTGTCTCTCTCTGACCCTCTTCTTCTAATGCGGTCTCTCTCTCAAAGAAATAAAAAACATTAAAAAAATTTTTTAAAAACATTAAAAAATATATAATGTTATTTTAATATTAACATTAACATTATTAACATCATTATATTACATTAATATATGTTAACAGACTTTGGACGCCTGGGTGACTCAGTCAGTTGAGCGTCTGACTTTGGCTCAGGTCATGATCTCACAGTTTGTGGGTTCAAGCCCCACATTGGGCTCTGTGCTGACATGACAGCTGGTAGCCCGGAGCCTGCTTCGGATTCTGTGTCTCCCTCTCTCTCTGCCCCTCCCTGGCTCATGCTCTGCCTCTCCCTCTCCTTCAAATACAAACAAACATTTTAAATGAATGAATGAATGAATGAATGAATGAATGAAAAAAATTGCCAGGTATTTAAAAAATATATTAACAGGTTTTACAAAGTAGGTTATATATCTCACTAAGAAGAAAACTAAAATAAGGCAGAAAAAAACCCAAATTTTTAAATAACATGGAGCATCTGAAAACTCTATTAATATTCTCATAAAAAAATAAATTAAATGTTGGGGGGCACCTGGGTGGCTCAGTTAGTTAAACATCTGACTCAACTGCAGCTCAGGTCATAATCCTGGGCTGTGGTATCAAGCCCCACATCAGACTCCACTCTGAGTGTGGGGCCTGCTTAAGGACTCTCCGTTTAAACTCTCCCTGTCTGCACTCTCTCCCCAAAATATAAAACTAAGAAATAAATTTTAAAAAATTAAATGTCACCCTTTGTTTTCTAATTTCTAAATTATTTTACAATTAAATCTACTAACTCTATTAGCACTACAAAAGCAAATAATAACAGGTTGGTGATAAAACCTGTCATTTCACACTTTAAACACAAAACATTTACTCATATTTACTCATGTTATTTATTATTTTATATTTATATTGAAATAAATTTAAAAGCAAAGAGAAACAATCAACTAAAATCACATAACACGTCAACAGAAAATAAAAGCACATATTTTTTGAGAGCGAGAGAGAATGGAGAAGAGGACGAGAGAGATGGACAGAGACAGAGGGGAGAAGCAGAGCGAGACTCCCAAGCAGGCTCCACACCCAGTGCAGAGCTGGACACAGGGTTCGATCTCCTGAACCAAGAGAGATTATGACCTGAGCTGAATTCAAGAGTCAGATGTGAAACTGACTGAGCCTCCCAGGTGCCTCAGAAGCACAGCATTAAATACAGTAAAACTGTACATGAAACATTTTTTCAAATAATATTGCAATCTTTTTTAATTGCTTTATATTCTTATGCAGGATGGATTTTTAGAGTCCCTTTGACGTTTTAAAACAAATTTCTTATAACTATCTCAATGAACTGGGCTCATAATTTGAACAAAAATGGCAAGTTATCAAACAGAGGGAGTGTCACTTACCTGTCACACAGAGGGGTGCCATGCCCTTTTGAAATCTGCTCCATTTTGTAATTATAGGCCAGAATAAACAGATTGCGCTGGAAACTACTCATTTCATTCACTTTATTCATGACATTTTTGTAGATCCGATCCATGATTTCCTAGATAGATAAAAATGAGCTAATACAATCAATAATGCTATCAGCTTACATATTATATCTTAACAACAGATAAATATTTCTATCAGTGCTGAGGCATTTAAAAAATATATTCTAAGAGGAACAAACTGTTAAAATACAGCCACAACTAGTTTAAAACTGAGGTTTCTGTAAAAATAATTTTTCATAGCACAAATATATCTAGATACTCACAGGAGTAGTTGAAAGAAAGAAAAGTCTTAGGGTAGTAATGTTATCAATTTTTTTTATATTGCTTCACTCACAAGATAAGCAACTATCTTATTTATTTTGTCTTATTTATTTTGGAAAAAGCTCACTAAATAAATGAACAATTATATTAAATAGCTTTTAAAATTCTCATACCTTATCTTATAAAAATACAGCCACACTTTGCTCACAAAAGGACCATAGGGTTGGGGCACCTGGGTGGCTCAGTTGGTTAAGTGTCCGACTTCAAGTCATAATCTCACAGTCCCTGAGTCTGAGCCCCACATCGGGCTCTGTGCTGACAGCTCAGAGGCTGGGGCCTCCTTCAGATTCTGTGTCTCCCCCTCTATGCCCCTCCCTCACTTGCACTTTCTCTTTGTATCTCAAAAATAAGTAAACGTTAAAAAAGGTTTAAATAAATAAATAAAGGACCATAGGGTTATTTGGTTTGCTGATGATGGTTTTTTGTTTTTTTTTTTTTAAGTTTATTTATTAGAGAGAGCACGAGGGAGAGGCAGAAAAGAGGGAGAGAGAATCCCAAGCAGGCTCTGTACTGTCATTGCAGAGCCTGACACAGGGCTCAATCCCACAAACTGTGAGATCATGACCTGAGCCAAAACCAAGAGTCGGGCGCTTACTTGACTGAGCCCGCACCCAGGCGCCCTGGTTGATAGTCTTTTCATGCTGCACACAGGAAATTTTCCTTCTCTGCACTGCATTTTGCTCACCAGGCCTGTTACTAGGCAGTATACTGTAATGACTGGAAATGGTTTTTCCTCTACAATTTTAAATTATATTTAATTTTATATGAACTAACACATGAACTGAAAATAAAATACTACACCAAGGAAACTCCTCACCTACAGAAACTATCAAACTTCTGGTCATGTATACTTGTGGTAACCACGTTAACTATGCTTGCTGGGAGCACTCAGGTATCTGGAACAATTCCCAACACTTTGAAACAAAATCAGAAGCCACATCAAGCTTACACTGAGGAGACAGAAAATCCATTGCTAGCCCATTTCTACTCCTCTAACGCCCAGGCCCCTCCCCAGGACACAAAGCACTTCCCAGGTAATTCAAAGTTGCACCAACTTCTCTGTCACTTCTTCTAGTGACTAGTCCTGACTTCCTGGGGGTTCAGGAGGCAATGACACAGGAGGGAGGGGTGTCAAACCGTCCCCCCCCCCCAAATCTCCCCCTGGGCTTCCGGTTTCTACTCATAGCAAACATTATCGTAAAAATGACCCGAGTAGGAAGCTTATTTAGGGAAAGGAGCTGATAATATCATAGGGAAGCTGAAACTAAGTTGAGTGTTTAGTAAATTTAAAAAATAAATGCTAAAGGAAGAGTGAATAAATCCTGTAGTGCATACGGCAATAAATAATCAAGAAGTAAAAACCCCACGTAACTACCCCGCCAACCGGATCTCTCCCACTTGTTCAGGGCTCACACTGATACGTGGTACATTCTTACCGGAACAGCTGCCATGAGCGTTGGTTTCAACATGGTTGTATCCCCTTTGCTTCCTTTCTTTATTTTCGAAGACTACGGAAAGAAAAAATGATCTATATAAAGTGATCCTTACAGTGGAATTCTCAGACCAAAAAGAAGATTATAAATTCACCATTTTAATTCACTTACTATAAAAAGAACTTAAAAGGCAAGTGATCAAATGATTAACTGTCACCTTTGTGACATACCGTCACACGGACGGGGGAAAATGTGTTTAAAAAACTTTTTCAGGGGCGCCTGGGTGGCTTAGTCGGTTAAGCGTCCGACTTTTGCTTAGGTCATGATCTCGCGGTTCGTGGGTTCGAGCCCCGCGTCGGGCTCTGTGCTGACTGCCAGCTCAGACTCTGGAGCCTGTTTCAGTCTGTGACTCCCTCTCTCTCTGACCCCCCTGTTCGCTCTCTCTCTCTCTCTCCTAGAAATAAATAAAACATTTAAAAAAAAAAAAAAAAAAAAAACTTTTTCATATCTGAAGTCCCGGACATTTCATTTACCTGATCTGCTAAAGTCTGTGGTGAAGAGTAGCCAATGCGGCATCCGTGAGAAAGACACACGAGCTCGGCACTTAATTCTAACACATGGGCCAGCGGCAGATACCCAATGTAAACATCTTCTTCTCTAAAAGCAAAGGGGATATAAAAGCAACTGTCAAGTGCTGTCTCTGCTAGAAGTAACTGCAAAAGGGAGCCCACGTGGGGAGAAAAGGTGAGAGAAGGAGAGAAGGAGAGAGGGAGAGGGAGGGAGAGAGACAGAGAGAGAGAGAGAGAAAGAGGGTGTGTATGTACACGTGTGGGGGAGGAGCTGCAGACACACACTGGGGGTGTGCGGGGTGTGCAGGAAGGGAGAACCACAGCTCAGACTAAAACCCAGGAGGCAGACAGTGAGGAAGTGGCCCCGTCTCTGGTCCCACTCAAAGGCACTCACTAAGGATTTCTACTGCAGGAGCAACATGCTAAGAGAGAAGAAATGGAGGCTGGGGGCCAAAAGAAGAGTTCTCTTAAAGGGCAGAGGAAATCATCCACAAAGGAAATGGTGTTTAAAATGGTGGGCTCCCCAACAGAAGAGTTCAAACAGAATCCACCACTCTTGGCCAGGAGTTTTACAAAAGAAATTCCTGTTTTGAGAGTTATTTAAGAAGTAATAAATTGTACCATACATAAGAAAATGTATACTATGTGTATCTATTTCATGAACTACGGCCACCCCCAAAAATATGAAGAACAAACGTCTAAGACTAACCCAGGAAACTTGCTCTTAATTCTTTCTGAAAGTTATCCATTCATAAGAGAAATCTCTCTGTCCATCCCTAAATTCAATCCCGCAGTAACCGGCATGTGTGAGGGTAATTTCTGTGCATAAGGGCATCAAAAATATCCAGCCACCACCAGCACACCAGATCGGTCATTTTCATACCCACTCCATTACAGGCCCTCACGGTCCCATCTGGTCTCCTCGCCGGTCCCTTCCCACGGCACGCCCACCCCGCCTGCCACTGCTGGAATTGTTCTTACAGAGAAAAATCAGAGACTGAATAGAGCTCCATAAATATTTAGTGGAACCTATGAAGTGGTCTGTTCACCTGAATCATACATGTTTAGGTATAAAAATGACACTAGTGGCAATACTATCAACTGATTAAAGTAATTTAAAGTAAGGGATTTAAGTTAGTTAAAATTTACACTTTTAAAGTGAAAAGTAAATATTAGCAATGATATTGTACATAAAACTGTATTTGAAACCTCACAACTGTAACTATTTTGTGACTAACTTAAATGTGCTGCCTTTTGTTTTTGCTTGTTTGTTGTTGTTGTTACTGTTGTTGGTTTTTGAAGGAAATGCCAACTGTGAAAAGGCCCTGGGAGACTGACCTGGCCATATACTACTAAATGACACAGTTAACAATGGATACAAATAACAGACCACTTCGTATGCATTTACCAGGACTCACCCCAGCCTTGGGATCCTTTCCGCCATCCCAGTTATCCCAGCAATAATATTACTGTGGGAGATCATGACTCCCTTCGGCAATCCTGTGGATCCACTCGTGTACATGATTACTGCGATATCTGAGGGCGCTGGTTTGCTATGAGGTTTGTTTTCTGCATTGGGGGAAAAAAAAACACAAACACATCTGAGAAATTTAGCCACATTACCAATTTCTTCCATCATCAGGTTTTTGAACTCAATTCAACAACTACTGTATTCATTCAGGTCAGCAATACAGATCGAGTCCCTGCACATAAAGGAAACATAGAATATACGGAGATAAATAAACCATAAATCTATAATGTAATAAGAGTTATGAAGAAAAATAAAGCAAGACTAGGTATGGTGATAGTAGAAGCAATTTAGATGGAGGAGTCAAGAAACACTTTCCTGTCAAGTTGGTATTTTAGTAAAGACTTGAATACAGTGAGAAGGCGGCCGTGGCAACCCTGGGACCGGGAGAAGAATGCTTCAAGTGGAAAATAAGCAAGAGCACAGGCCCTGAGGCAGCAATGTGATTGGCAGATGTAAAGACAGAGCAAAAGGAAAAAGAGCAGGAAAGAAAGGCGAAGTTGCAGCTGGAACCATATCATGCAAAGCCTTGAAGGCCACACTTAAGACTCTGGATTTCACTGCGGGGTAGAAAGCAATGTTGTTTTGAACAAGGGTTTGTCATCACCTGTGACAAGGGTCGCTTTGGCTGCTACCCGGCTACCTAACTTAAGAAAGGGAAGAAAGGTGGCAGGGACACAAATGCCAGAAATTCAAGTAAGAAATAAGGGTGGCTGCTAAAAATGTCCTCTGCTCTACATGGTGAGGCTGCCTTGGCTACAGTCCGAGTCCTGGATTAAAAGGCTGTGTCCTCCTTGGGCAGAAGCCTAAGGTCAGCAGCCACCATCCCACAGGTGACACAGCAGAAAGGCAAAGTAAGTGGGTCATGGGTGGCACTGCCCGAATTAATCCTGGCACTCCTCCACATGGGGATCCCTTGGGTCAGCAAGGGAAAAGGATTTTAAACGTGTTACCCAGTGAACCCCGTCTCTCCGACACGCACAGATGTATCCCATGACAATCGTCTTCACCCCGGTCCTTCCTCCCTAGCCCGTCACTCAGCCCTTCATCCCAGGGACCCTCCGCCGCCACGTCCTACGAACTGCTCTGAGGGGGCCCTCCTGCAACCCCGGTGTCGCCGGACTCCTGCAGACGACTCCACCTCACTGGCGCGCTCCTTTCACTTGGCTCCCGGGAACCACACAGTACGTTTCCTTCCCTCCTCTCTGACTAACCTCAGTCGCTTTCAGAGGCACCATTCTCCGTGGGCGACCTCACCTGCTTCCACAGCCATAATGAAAACCTAAGTGCGCATCTAGCTTTTGAATCTCTTAACTCCAAACTTTACTCAGGAGTATATGCCCACCCCCCCACCCCCCCAGATCTACAGCGAGGGATGCCTGGATGGCTCAGTCAGTTAAGCATCCAACTTTGGCTCAAGTCATAATCTCGTGGTTGGTGAGTTTGAGCCCCGCATCAGACTCTGTGCTGACAGCCCAGAGCCTGGAACTTGCTTCAGATTCTGTGTCTCCCTCTTTCTCTGCTCCTCCCCTGCTCTCTCTCTCTCTTCTCTGCTCCTCCCTTGCTCTCTCTCTCTCCCAAAAATTAATAAGCATTTAAAAAAAGATCTACACTGATGTCCCACTAGCACTGAGAGTTCCATATGCCCAACACTAATGTCAGCACAGCCCTGTTCCCGTCCCAGAGCTTGAGTGCTCCCAGCTCAAGAAGTACCGTGTTTCCAACTGTAAAGCAAATCCAGTCCCTGCACCCTAGCCGCTTCTGTGGAATTCCTAAATCCCCACACTCTTTCTAGCACTTTATCTGAGTGGAACTTCCAGTGTCACCATGCCCATGTGGTCCAGCTGGGGGGTAAAAAGACGTTCCCTCTGGAAGAGGCAGAGTCAGAGCTGGGGCGGGGGGGGGGGGATCGGGGAGGTCCAGCCATCTGCTCATACTTACACACATAATTTGTACACACATATGACTAGCTTGATGGCACTACTTACAAAACTAACTTCAAACCACTCAAAACTACCAGAAAAAACCAACAGGAAACTTGTATAACATAGAAGTATTTTCAAGTAATTTCACATAAAAACTACTTTCAGAATACTAACAAATTAATCTGTGTGTTCTTCCTGAAACCTTTCTTTAAAGGGCAGATGAAAGTAGATCCAGAGTGGCCGTACTCCCCGAAGTGATGGTCTAGGAAGTGGGTTTGTCCCCAACCTAACCTCAGCGTCGGGACAACTCTGGGGAACACGGTCCCTGCAGAATCACAGGAAGGACCCGGAAGTGAGCCGTACCTGCTGCGCTCGCCTTGGCCCCCAGGGCCTGCACTGCGGCCATGGTGTGCACGATGACACCCTTGGGGAACTCGGACCAGGTGGGAGGCTTCCCGTCCACGGTGATGATGTGCCGCAGGCGTGGGACTAAGGAGACGATATCCTGGAAAAACAAGCGTGCCTCACGGTGTTCACTGTGCATCAGCAAATGGCTTACAGCCAGTCCGGGACACAAGAAAAGCAGTTTACTGCAATCCCAGAATTATTCGTTTCTTGTCTCCAAAACAGGGTGAGGGGGTGCACTGGTATGAATACGTATTCACTTCCTTCAGATGGAGAAGTACCGGTCTGAAATTTAAATTGCTAATTTATAGCATTAGATTTCCTGTGTGTACTGGTTCCTGATCAACAAAGTCACTTCCTTACAAAACAGGCGTGTAAACACAGGCCGCCCAAAAACAGAGCGGCCACAGCCCCGTAGGTTTTCAAGAGACAAACAAAGATGGGGGGGATTCACTTAAAAACTTGCAGATAAAAAATGGGGGGTGGGGGGACGCCTGGGTGGCTCAGTCGGTGGAGCATCTGACTTTGGCACAGGTCATGATCTCACGGTTCATGAGTTTGGGCCCCGCATCAGATCCTCTGTCCCCTTCTCTCTCTGCCCCTTCCCTACTGGTTCTCATTCTCGTTCTCTCTCTCTCTCAAAATAAATAAATTTTTTTTTTTTTTAACTGCACAGGGGCGCCTGGGTGGCTCAGTTGGTTAAGTTTCTGATTCTTGATACCGGCTCAGGTCATGATCCTGGGGTCAGAAGACCGAGCCCCACACTGGACTCTACGCTGACAGAGTGGAGGCTGCTTGGCATCCTCCCTCCCCTCTCTTTCTGCCCCTATCCTTCTCCTGTCCTGGGGAGTGCGCTCTCTGTCTCTCTCTCAAAATAAATAAATACACCTTTAAAAAAAAAAAAAAAGGCAGATATTACGTTTCACAGGAAGTCATCTAGGGACTTAAACCCCTTCTCCTATAGTTTCATTAAGTCTCCTTTTTCCTTGAAAAAATTCTAAAACCTCATAATGACCCAATGCTTCCAAAAAATAAATAAATGAGTTGCCAGTTTAGAAACAACCCTTCAAAATTATGAATTTATTGAAAATAGACTAGAACACAAGTGAACACAATAAAAGTTATGATCCCTTCCCCCTTAGACAAGGACGTATGTATTATATTACCAATCAAGCTATTACCTCTCTGCACTACTTATACATAAATACAGGCAAAACCTACTTTTTCTTCTCCAAAAGGAAAGGAATAAAGTATGATAGTCCTAAAAGTTTACAAAGATACTCAGGATTTTAATGATCATAAAAGCATCAGTATTAGTGCCCAAGACAGTGAAAATTCTCAAATATTGGACAGTTATAAAATAACCACAGAACTCACCTTCAACTTTGTTTGCAAGAGTTCTTTACTGGTAATGATGTTGGTCACCTCTGTTTCATTTAAACCATGAACAATAGCCGGCCCGCCTAGAGTAGCATACAATGTAACAACTATAGGGAGAAGAAGGGCAAGTCAAGTGTTTGAATGTTTCAAGAACTAAATATAAAGTCTCTAAAGTAGTCAAATCACAATGGTATACTGAACCTAAATTTAAGAATCTATGACTTTTTGTTACATGGATAAATGCTATCCATGTAACATGCTATACTTTCCCAAATTATTTCAACATACTAATAAATATTATGACCACTCATCCTTTCCTACCTAATGGCCCCCCAATATTTCCAATGTTTTATAACAAAAGAATATGGGGGGCACCTGGATGCCTCAGTTGGTTGAGCGTCAGACTTCAGCTTAGGTCATGATCTCAAGGTTCACGAGTTCAAACCCTGTGTCGGGCGCTGTGCTGACAGCTCAGAGCCTGGAGCCTGCTTTGGATTCTGTGTCTCCCTCTCTCTCACTGCCCTTCCCCTGCTCACTCACTCTAAAAAAATAAACACTAAAAAAATTTTTAATTTTTTTAAGTTTTGTTTCACCTACGGATGCTGCTCTGGGATGCCACAATGGAAGGAATTCTATCTGACTCCTAAAATGTCAAAGCCTTAGTTAACTACCTGGTACAGAAAATAAGAAAAAAGAAAATATACCAGTAAGATGACGCACTGAGCACCAGGCTGAAGGTGTGATGTGTTAACATGAACAACTGGCAGGAAGGACTGCTTACTCTAAAGTAGAAAACTAAAGAAGAACATTCTAGAAATGGTGACGTTTCCTAACGACCCTGTGGACTTTTATTTGCTTTCTGCCTAACTGACAGAAGCTAGACTTAAAGTGACTTGAAGAGATAATTATTGTAAAGCTTCTCAAAAGAAGCATACTGTGAACCCACACCTATGAAAGCAAAGGGATAGGTCAGTTTTTACAGTAACAGTGGAAGCATTTACAGCAGGAAGCCTGGTAATAGCGTCTTCTCTGTTTCATCTGAAAGGTAAGACAATGTCCAGACTCAACGTCACATTTTGGCACCAAGGCCTGTGAGCTAAGCTTCCAGGACCACATCACAGGCTGGGGCCTCAGGGCTGCCACTTAAATTACAATATAAAAAACTCCTTATCAATGAACTTGGCACCTGGGATCAAATATTGACGTCAACAGTCACCGCTGACAGAAGTGGCATGACAAAGTGACACCCGCTTCACAAGAGAGCTCCTGAGAGGACCGGCCGAGCCTTCTGGTCCCCTTACCACGCTGGCCCCACAACTGTTCCACACTTCCTTTTCCAAAAGTAGACCCACAACTCTAAGTTGTAACAGAATTCTCCCTGATGAGACCAAGGTGAAAACTAACCTCAGAATTTTACTTTCTTAACAATGAAACATTAGTAATAAACACTATCCTCTCTCCCACAGTAACTCAAGTCTGCTCTTCCAGAAGATCAGAAAGCCTACGTACGCTGAAAATTATACATAAAGCACGCCTGCGCGGCAATCATCCATTCGGCCCTGGTTTCGCAGAAGATGGCGATGTTGGTCTTTGGCTTCTGACCCAGTATCTGTAAGCCATTTCCAAAATTAAGAGCTCTAAGGAAGACGTCTTCATAGGAGAGCCAGTTATAGTGTCCGAGAATAACCTGATAAACAAAAAACATACAAATACCTTTTAATATAACCAAAATAATGTGTTCTAGAAAGAAGCCAAGATTTGTTCTAAGTTTTATGACAAACCAGAGTTATATCTGCATGTAACTTAACTGTTTTTTTTTTTAAATAAAAGAGAGTTTCGAGTGAAAAAAACCTATTTTGAAAATTAGCTATGTTGTGACATTTTCTTTGACAAACTGCACGCCAAATCTTTTAACGTAATGGGGGGGGAGGGTATTTTTAAAAATCCTCCGAGGTAGATAGGATTTTAAAGATCAACTTTTTGACCAAAGGATCCGACTTAAACAATGTAGGTGTTAGCTTAAAATTTAGCCTAGTCTCAAGTACCAAGGATACCAACATTTTACTTTCCGTCTATTTATGAATTCCCAGATTTGAATATCAAATCGTACAATATGATTCACAAACTGAAACTAGACAGGCCCAAGATAACAGACATATTTATGGCTGTTCAATTAACTGCTCTATCCCGTATCTAACTCAGCGTAAGAAAAGTAAACAAGTCTCTATTTAAACAACCAGGATTAATTACATTATTCATTTAAGCCTTAAGTACCAACTGATATCACTGGGCTTTCAACGTTTTATGTGTGCTCCCCATAAGTGCAGGTAACATTAAGTCGACATTAGCAATAATCCTCTTTCAGAACTGGCTAACATTTTTCTTTAGGAATTTTCTCCAACTTTTATCAGACCACAAATCCCCAATTACATATCAACTGGATAAAAAGTTCCTCACACTACAAATATATACATATAGTTCCCAAACACAGCTGTCTCACTAATATATCTTTCACACACCTTAAAACCATCTAACCACATTCATTTTTAAAAATGCATGCATTTAAGAGAGTTTCAGAAATAAGAGGTTGGGCGAAGATATAAAAATGGGGGGAAGGTAAATACTGCCCTCTAGTGTCCTCTTCCATAATGGATTAAGAAATAAATTTTTATTTTTATGGTTAAGGCAACTGCATTTAAAATATTTAACGTGAGCGGTCCCAAACTCTCACCTTGCTCTGCACCCCCATGAAATGCTCAGCACAGGGAGCTCCATGACTTCAAAAGGAGCTCTGTGGGGGTGAGAAGACAGATGAGAACTCGGCCAAAATGTGCACAAACTGGCTTACAATTATTAAGAATTTTACACTCCAAAGATAAGCATGAGCTACCTCTTAGATTCTAGAAGCTAAATGATGAGCTTTGTAAGTTTCAGAGAATGTGTATGTTCTGAAAGGTTATGATCTGTATAATCCAAATACTTAAATCCATGTAATGGGGCCACCATGTGGCAAAGAAATCAAATCACGAATCTCACTGAAGCGTAACCAAACTGAATTCCACTAAATTCTTTAAACTGCTGAATCTTCTACCTTTCCCATAAAGATTACATTTAAAGGTCGCTACCCACCCTGCAATTTTGCCTTTTACTGGAAAAAAATTCCAATTCTAACTCTGTCCCTATAGTTAGCTCAAACCTGAGATTAAACTCGTTTATTCCCTGCCCATCCTGAAGAACGGCCAACCTCCCTCTATGCGGGACCACAGACCGCACCACCCAGCAATCCTATCTGCTTCCCGGCTGTGCTCACCCCCAAGCCCTCCGAAACGGCTGCCTGAAACCTTCTTCCGCCCAAGTGTCCTCCGCACCCCCCTCCCACCCGCCTCCACTTGCAGGTGATGACACATCTCACGGTCACGGAGAAATCAGGCATGCGCAGGAACACCCTCGCCCTGCTGCCAGCGAGCTGAACAGCCCACATACATCTGTGTCCTCGATCTCTGCAGTCTTGTGGTATTACAGTGATTGAAGCGTCCCTAACAAACCCAAACTTACAAAGACTTTTACTCTGAGGCGCTTCCCAAATTTCTGTCTCCAATCTTAACCACCTCTACTTGCATCTCCAAGTCCGAAAACCTTACCCTGGCCTACACAGCCCTACGGGACCTAGCCATTGCCAGTGTCTCTGTGCTCACAGCAAACCCTCTTCCCCTAACTCACTACTTCCTGTAAATGCTTGGTCCTTTCTGTCCTTCAAACAGGCCGGCCCCAGGCAGGAGCTAAGATAAAGCAAGATGGGTGCCGCAAGCACAAGATTCAGAGAGGCCGTCGTTCTCAGGGTTTGAATACCTTCTTCAATTTTGCACCCCAACTGCCACAGCCAACAGACGTCACTCCAGTGTTAGAGCCAGCGAGTGCGCTGCCCCATCCCTCGCTGCAGAGCTGGCTCTTCTGTGGGTCAGGCCTCCCCTAGGAGAGGCCATCCCTGATCTCCAATCAGCTTTATGTCTCCATACTAGATATTCAACCTTTAACTTATCACTTGCAGTCTCTCTTCCTCCAGTACAAATACAAGACCCGCGAGAAGAGTAACCTTTGTGTCCTGTTCGTTATCGGCTCCCTAATGGCGTACAGCTCGTCTCAGCGACCATTTCTTATTTGCATGGAATAAGCAGTATAATTAAACACAATTTCAATTCACTTTGGGCCTTCAGAGAGTCTTCGGACCCCTCTCCCCTCTAGAAGCCTCCTGTTGTAAAAGAGTGTTTTAAGAAAAAAAAAATCCACATCCATCTGATCACTTAATCCCTAGGGCTACTTCTGTTCTGGCCACCCTTCCATTTATGCACACATCCTAGCCTGCCACCTCTTAAATATTTTTATCCACACGGCGGCCAGCGGGCACTGCGTGGCTCGGTCCATTAAGCATCTGACTCTGAATTTAGGCTCAGGTCATGATCTCAGCGTTCATGACATCGAGCCCCACGTGAGGCTCTGTGCTGACAGCTTGGAGCCTGCTTGGGATCCTCTGTCTCCCTCTCTGCCCCTTCCCCACCTGTGCACACACACTATCCATTCTTATCCGTGACCCATGAGACACAAATGTGCTCATTTTCCAGACTCTGAGTCAGGAAAAGGAATGACTAGTCTGGCTAGGTCTACCGTGGAGTCTCTGAGCAGTTTCCTAACTTGTAAACTTAGGGGCAGAGTTAAGACAGGCCCTATGGTCACTTTCCTCACTCACGTTTAATTGCCTATATTTTTATTCTGTGACAGGTATGACATACACATGTGTAAATATCAGTGTTATCACTCAGACTACCACTACCCCAAACAGAGGAACTTAGTAATTTTCTTTGTTCAGAAACACATTGATGATGCTAAGGATGAGGGTCTCTTATCTCAAAAGACAAACTATAAAAATAAAATGGAGTAACATACAGAACATTCTGTAAAATAAAAGCATACAAATACTGAACTCTTCAGGACCCTGACGAATGATACAATCAAATAAAGATCAAGTTTCCAGGTAGCTAAGGGTTTAACCAGTACAAGTAGCAACTTTCCGTTTAGCTTTTTAGAATAGAAAGACTTTAAAATTAACACTTTCCTGCTTTCTTCGACAAAGTACACCTGGTTCCATTCACCCTTCTCTCTGTGAATGAAAATTACGACAATTTACTGTGAGGGAGCCAGAGGGCGAAAATATTCAGCAGGTGTGGATGGTGGGTAATGATCATGAGGAGAAAAAGAGGAGGAAGAGGAGGAGGAAGAGGAGGAGGAGGAGGGGGAGGACAAGGGGGAAAGATGAGGAGGGGGAGTGGGGAAGGGGGGGAGGATGGGAAGGGGGGGCCGAGGGGGGGACGGGGGGGGACGAGGAGGGCTAACCCTTGCCAGTGTTCACCGCGTGCTAAGCAGGCTGCAGTAGCAGCTTATTAAGACTCTCACACTAACTCTTAGGACAGTTACTACTATTATCCCTATTTCACCAATGACAATACTGAGGCAGAGAGAGAGTATGCATAACTTGCTCAAATATCACACAGCCTGAGTAGGACTAGAATGCGAATCCGAGCAGGCTCATTCCCCAATCTAAGGCCTAAATTATGGCGCCCCGACTACACTACGGAAGGAGGCGCTGTTACTGTGCTGGTGAGAACGGGGGTCTAATTGACATCCGTCGAGGATCCTTGCAACTGCTGTGCGCGTGGGTTATAGCAAGGGCAAGCGTGGAAGCAGAGACCTGTTAAAAGGAGGTTGGGGGGCCGTTAAGGGGAGCAGACTCCCGGTTCTTCGGCTCGAGCCGTTTGGTACCCGGTGGTGCCTCTCACAAACGGGCTGAGCAGGAGAGAAACAAGTACGGAAAGGAAAAGCAAGGTTCTGACTGGGGAAGGGCACTCTCACAACCGAAACACAAACCCTGGCCAAGAGAACGACCATTATTTTCTATATAAATTAGGATGTAAATGTCCTAACAAGTCAGAAAATAAACACCATAACATATGCAGATATATACGTTTGTTTTATACATATATGTATATATATATAAAAATGACTGACTCTGGAGCAAGAAATAACACAAAAGTAGGCACCGAGGAAGAAGAAAGCTAAGTCAATTTCCAAGAGCAGAAGAGAGTATTTCTATGATCTTTTTGGATCAATTTACAAAGAATAGCATAGTGAAATCTTCTCTTTCTAGGCACTATGATTATGTAATCCCTCCTAGTTTCTTCTTTCTAATGTGTGTAAAATAAAGCGTTTCTGGTGGGTAGATCATTAAATGTCTGAGCCGGCCTTGCACTCCTTTCTGTTTCGCTGTAAAAATTTTTTTCTTCTTTACAACTGTGTTCTATTTCAGGTCCACGTATTTTAAAGACTCTCTGGAAAGCAATCCTTCACGGCTCTTCATTTCCAAAGACCTTAGAAGGATGCACTGGCGGCCGGCAATGCGGACACACACCCGGTGCTCAGAGCCCGCCGTAGCTTCATAAAGCCAGAGGACACTTCTCGAAAAGCTTGCCGAGCCTCAAGAATATAGCAGCCTCTGCTTCTCCGCCTTTCGTTTTTCTCTCTGTGCCCCCGAGAGACTGGCCTTAGGGAAGTCAAAAGCCACGCTGTCATGGGCATAACGAGAGCAGGATCACCACTGACTTCTCCTCTGCTCACCCTCCCTTCGGAGCTCAACACTGACTTAGGTAGCATATGATGGACACAAAGCTTCAGAATTCATTTATCTGAAATAATGGTTCCGGTATCTTTGTTTCAACTATATCAGATACATTCCAGGGTTAATCCCCAAAGCTCAGCCCCCAAAACGAGAAGGAAGGAAACGCTGAGACACTGCTACATCAGTGGCCGGCTTTCCCAATTCAAGATGATGGTCAAATACGGAAACTACTGAATGACGGGACGCTCCGTCACAGACCTGTCTGCGCTCTGGCTGGAAGCGTTCTGAGCAGAAGCCACGGGACCTAAGCAACTCCGCTCTTACAGGCACCGGAGTCCCCGTTGTGTAATAACCGCCCCCCCACCCCCCCCCCATCAGAGCCGCTGCTGGTTCTGCTGCAACACAGTGCGTGTAAACAAGCAACCAAGAGGTGAAAAGCCCCAGTGTGTTTATAACCCCCAGTGGAGATGCCCGCAGTCCCGGGTGCAAACCACTGTTACAGTTGCAACAGAGACAGAGAGAAACCAGGGGCTTGGCTAATCAGTGGTGTGGCACTTTCTTCCTGGGTAAGGCTAACAGAAAACATCTGATTCATTTACTACACACGAAACCTAAACATTAGTTTTCTCCCCCCAGCTAGCCTCATTTCAAATACAAGATTCTCTGTATCAGAGTTTATACAGAGCCTCCCCAAAAAAGTCCGACGAATCACAAACGCCAACAGCAGGGCAGACGTCAGGGGCAGACGGACCTGACAGTGACGCGATACGGACAGAGAAGGCTGCTAACTGTAAGCTTTTTCATTTTCAACGTTCCTATCTTCAAATATTTCTTTGTTGAACAAATGAGGACAGCAAAGACCCCGTGGGCGGGCCAGAGAGTGCCCTGAATACACAAACACACAACAGGGAAAAACTTTCCTTGTGTCCGTTGTGTTATCTGGCCACATTTAAGAAGAAACTGACAGGTCTAGGATTTTATTTTATCCTAATTACACTGATGCCTGAATCAAGAAGGAACTTCACCTCTACCATCCTCATCTCCTTTTCACATTCTTGGAAACTCGTCTGCTACTATAAGGACTGAAAAATAGTGTGAGTCCCATAAAATGCCTATAATGTGCACAACTCTGGAGAAAAAACGAAATCTCCTGCTAAAGTAGGACATCTGTTACATAAGCTGAGATTAAAAACAAGAGAACCAATCTTTGAATTCAAATAGCATTAGTTCAAAAAACAAAATGTTTTCAGGGCGCCTGGGTGGCTCAGTCGGTTAGGCGTCCGACTTCAGCTCAGGCCATGATCTCACGGTTCATGGGTTCGAGCCCCACATCAGGCTCTGTGCTGACAGCCAGCTCAGAGCTGGGAGCCTGCTTAGGATTCTGTGTCTCCCTCTCTCTCTGCTCCTCCCCTGCTCACGCTGTTTCTCTCAGAAATAAATAAAACTTTAAAAAAAAAGTTTTTAAGACAAGACACAGGAGTGGAAAACTTTAGCACCTAAAAAAGTGCAGTGTTTTTGGTACCTTGTATTAACTGCCAGATCTCTCAAAGACAAAATCAAGATGGTATTGCATAAAAAGTAAAAATGGCAACTAAATATCAGACCCGGTTATGATAAAATATGTTTTAGGAGTTATAATCTATAGGCTTGAAGAGTAAACACACATGGGTAACTACACGACTTTGATTTCGAGAAATGTGTACGCTATGATCTCCAGATAGAGCTTAAGTTAGCTTAAAAGAAAAAGATTCATCTAAGTGAGGCAAAAGTCAGTCAGCAAGAGAGAGACTATGCCTTACAAGGAGAGCGAGCCTGTCATTTCCCGAAGCCACCACCCAGCCGGCCAGGGGCACTGCTGATGTGCCGGGAGCAGTGAGATGGGCGAGGAGGGCTCCAGGCGCAACAGGACAGAGGATCACTGTTGGGAGGGGATGGACACTCACAGGCTCCGTTAAGTTAACATCATGTTCCAACTGCGAAGAATTACTGCCATTAAATTGCTGGCCATCCCCTTCATGTCTAGGGAGGAAAGGCCTACAGAATCTGTAAGGATAAGGCCACTAAAGACCACCACTGCAGACCCTCTGAAGTGTCTCATCCCATGGTGTGATTATTTGAACTTCTCCCCCCTGAACCTGAGAGTTGCTTCACGACTTACAGAAGAAAAAGGAGCTGGAGTCAGGATGTAGATGGAAAAAAGGATACGAGGAAAAACTTCGCCTGCATACATCCTACACATAAAACCTGACCAAATTATCAACCGGCTACTGATCATCTTAGTGCTCCTAAAAAAATTTTTATCATGGGGCGCGTGGGTGGCTTAGTCGGTTAAGCGTCTGACTTAGGCCCTGATCCCGCGGTTCATCGGTTCGAGCCCTGCGTCGGGCTCTGTGCTGACTGCCAGCTCAGAGCCTGGAGCCTGTTTCAGAGTCTGTATCTTCCTCTCTCTCTGACCCTCCCCTGCTCACTCTCTCTCTCTCCTAGAAATTAAAAAAAAAAAAAAAAAAAAAATTTTATCGTGGGGCGCCTGGGAGGCTCAGTTGGTTACACAGGCGACTTTTGGGTCCAGCTCTCACAGTTTATGAGACCAATCTCTGCTGTTAGGCTCTGCACTGACAGTGAGGAGCCTGCGTGGGATTCTCTCTCTGCCCCTCCCCTGCTTATGCATGTGCTTTCTCTCGCACGCTCTCTCTCTCAAAATAAACTTTAAAAAATTTTTAAAATTTATCTTCAGTGTTTACCTACTGGGACTTTAAGAACTGCTTGTAATAAAGTCATGTGTCAGGGCACCTGGGTGGCTCACTGGGTTAAGCATCCGACTTCAGCTCAGATCATGATCTCACAGTTCAGACTGGGAGTTGAAGTTCTGCACTGGGTTCTGTGCTGACAGCTCAGATCCTGGAACCTGCTTCGGATTCTGTGTCTGTCTGTCTCTCTCAAATATAAACATTAAAAAAAAGTCCTGTATCCAAAACCAGCATTTTCATGCCCTTTCTGTACACCCTACCCTTCAAACTGTTGCACTGCTCTATGATATTTCCTTGCAGTCACTCATATAATTTGCCCACCAAACTCCCAAGACAACAGTACTAAGAAAAACTAGAGCATTGACACAAGGGGCCACAAGCACTTCTACACACGTGTGTGTTTGTGTGCACGCATTCAGTTTATCCTCGACAAACCTGAACTGGCATTTACGAAGCAAGGAGCAGGCTCTAACGCTCACTTTACGACTCGCTAACTGAAACATTGCTGTGTACGTTACCCACCTGTGCCTCTGTGCCATCCTCTGTAAGATAACAATGATAACACTAACTCCCATGGCTATATTTTTAATGTTTTTTAAAATGTTTTATTTATTTCTTAGAGAGAGAGGGGGGCAGCATGAGCAGGGGAGGGTCAGAGAGAGAGGGAGACAAAGAGTCCAAAACAGGCTCTAGGCTCTGAGCTAGCTGTCAGCAGAGTCCGACGCGGGGCTCGAACCCATGAATTGAGAGATCATGACCTGAGCCGAAGCTGGATGCTCAATCGACTGAGCCACCCAGGCTCTCCCTCATATGGCTATTTTAAGTCTTAAATAAGCTGATATATGTAAAGCACTTAAAACAGCCTGACTTCTATGAAATGCTAATAAATAGCAGCAATAATCATTATCTTCATATTACAAATAAAAAAACTGAGGCAAATTTCTTAAATAACTTTTCCAGAGTCACATAGCTAGTTAAGTGGCAAAGCTGAGTGAGATCCAAACCTATAGCCTGGATCTGGAATCCAGGTTCTTAACCACCATCTTATATTGCCTCTAAGGATATTTTATCCCATTTCAAATCAACGATGGCAGGCTTGTCTATATTTATGAAAATTATTTTTTTCTTTTAATTTTTTCTAATCTAATGTTTATTTTTAAAAGAGGGAGAATGTGAGCGGGGGAGGGGGCAGAGAGGGAGAGAGGAGAGAGAGAGGAGAGAGAGAGGAGAGAGAGAGGAGAGAGAGAGGAGAGAGAGAGGAGAGAGAGAGGAGAGAGAGAGGAGAGAGAGAAAATATCCAAAGCAGGCTCCAGGCTCTGAGCTGTCAGCACAGAGCCCAATGTGGGGCTTGCACTCACGGACTGTGAGATCATGAAGAAAATTCTTTAAAAAACATGGTATTGCCACTATTAAAGTACCAAGACATGAAGCCCCCAACGGACCCTACATTAGAATCAGAAACAGCAAGCCTCACATCCCCAAACCCAGAACCATCTCCAGCACACGCAGGCGCTGGGGGAACTACCCAGGAATATGGTTTCCAACCCCAACCTGCTCTGGACATTCTCTTCTATGCCGTGGAGACTTTCAGGCTCCATGGGCAGTCTCAGTGGTTTGTGAAAATTCAGACCCATCTGTGCAGGGGAGTACAGAAGGGGATCATGACACAGTGTAGGATCCTTCCTGCCCTGTCTCTCCCGCCACATCAGCGACGTCCAGTAGCTGCAGAAGGCTCCTGTCCCTGGCCGCCACTTCCGAAAGCACCATTTTACTCAGAGGAAACACAAAGGCAATGAAAGATCTCCTTACCTTTTTAAAAATTTTTCCATTTGGTTGTACTTCATCTTCCTCATTTAAAATTTCACGTGTCCCCAAGAGTCTTTTGCCCTTAAATTTCTTTTTGGCATACATGAAAACTTTATCCAGCGTGTCACATCCAGGGTATAGTACGGAGGCCAAGCCGTCCAAACTGTTAACGGATCTGTATGCAGATTCAGGTTTTGAATTCACAGGCTTTGCTTTAATTCGGTTTGATTTTTCTTGTCTTGTCTCAAACAGAAAATAATACGGAATATATGTTATAACAGTATAAAGTGATATCATAAAATGTATGAAATACAAAAGAATGGGGTTGATGGTCTGTTTTAGCTTCATGGTAGCTGGTTTTGAAGATGCGTGGTTATTCATAAGTGCTCAAAAAGTAGAATTAACAGATTTCCGTGAGAATCTAGAAGGAAGAGAAAGAAAGATATTAGTCCAACATCATTTTAAAATAGCCTTACAGAATAATCCTTCACTTTAGGTGGCAAATGAAAATATTTGTTTCCAGTCAAGCAGCGGCTAGTATTGGCCTCTGGCAATGTCCTGTCCACCCCTGATGTGGTACATGTGACCCTCTTACAAGCATCTTGTATCTCTTTCCACATCATTCTATAAACAGGTGGTTTTTCCAACCTAACCCCAAGTGGTGAAGAAGGAGCAAGCCAGACACCTACATAAGAATCCAGACCAAAAACGTACCGATTTCCTCTCCCTGGCAGTCTCTGTGTATACACCATTTCCTCTCTCGCGGCCCAGCAGCCATTAATAATCACTGCATTCTTTCCCAGTGGGCTGCAGTCTCTCTCTCTAGGCAGTAACAAGCAACTAGAGTTGGCAAACAGAGAATCTACTTCCTGAAGGGATATTTTCCAATTCAGGCAGGTTAGATGGTGAAGCAAGGAGGCTGTAAACCTTGGTCTTTGTACTTTGCATTCATCAGATTTGCTGACAATCTACTATGTGTTGCATACTGTCCTAAGTACAGGAAATTCAACAGTGAACAAGACAGTCCACCTCCCTCCTCTCATGGAGTCTGCGCATTCACTGGGAGCGGCAGACGAAACGTGCGTACGCGTGTCAAGGGACGGTAAATGCTTGGAGGGAAAACGAACTGAGGGCAGGGAAACACGAAGTGAACAGGCAAGGCTGGAGAGACACTCGAGTGTATGGGAGGCGCACACGGGCCTCTCGGGCTGTGGAGGAGCCCCTCTCCCAGGAACATGGTGGAGGCCGTCTCAGGACAAAGGAGGGCAACGTGCACCATGGCCCAGTCAATTCTTCTACACGTACGCAGAGCTCTGACACGACTCTGTGACTTGGACTGTGTCCAATCAGACTATATGTGTCACCAGGTATGGGAGACAAAGTAGAAACTGTATAAAAGGCTACACCCCGCGGCGCTCAGGGCGGTTTTTTGGGTACGAACCCACTGAGCCCGTGCCGCCGCCACAAGCAAAGCTGCTTCGGAGACAAAGAAAGCCTCGCTGTCCGTTTCTCTGTGGGAGAACCGTGCTCTACGGCCGGTGACAGTGAGCGGAAACTTACAAGGAAAAGAGAGTGGGTCACGGGCCTGTCTGAGGAAAGCTGAGAACCCCAGGGGATATACTCCTCTGTGTGCTGGGTCGGTAATATCATTTCTGAAGAAACAAAACTGAAGCAAACTAGGAATCACGCCATCCAGCTTCAAGCCCAGCGGTTATGACGTCTAGCATGCTCATCTCCTATCCCCAAGTCCATGCTGTAGAAATTCTATTCCAGGCAAAACTGTGAGAAAGCTCTACCGCAGGCTCAGCAGGCCAAGAATGCGGGGCGCCTTGCCTCAGCCTCTGCATAACGTCCACGCAGAGACCGGAGCTCCAGGGAGGACCCGCGGCGACAGCCACAGCCCGGCACCGCCCTCACAGAACAGAGGACAGGCTGCGGGCCCTGCCCCTGTGGCTCCGGAGCAATGCTACACAGGCCAAAGCAGGCTGTAGGGACAGCGAGCTCCTGAGCAACCCCGAAGTGGACTGACTCGTGTCGGAACAGAGAACAGGGAGACCCACGCCTGGTGGCACTGTGGGAGACAGTGGAGACGTACTTGCTGAGGAGCGACTCACTTGGGGCTGGTAGTTCCAGGAGATCAAGGAAAGAGCAGAGCAAACAGAAGTTTAATGGAATCGGGGGAAAGAGAACCTAAGAGTCCTTCTACAGTCAGGGCAGCTCACAGACTGGCCTCAAACGCAGCCCCTACAAAGGCCTTATAATTTGCCTGGATGTCACAGTGAGGCAATCGATGGCCCAGGGCTCTGTCCAATACAATGAAGCCATCAGCTAGCTGTCGGGCCGAGGGTAACTGCTGGGTGTGAACTTGGCGCAAGTTTAACAAGGAGATCAGAGAAAGACAGTTAAAGAGCGTCCTACTAAAATCCAGCTGTCATCCCCTTGAGAGGGCACTCCAAGGGCACTCCGGGCGTTCAAGGCTGTGCCCACCAAGAAGCAACATCAAAGGATGCACACCGCAGGGGGTAAAAATAAACTGCACTGAAATAAGCCAGCAAGTCACTAAACAAATAGACAAGCAAGCAACACAAGCAGCAGCAGCCAGGGAAATCAGGAGGGGGAATCAGCATTCAGAAATGCTATCAAAGATCTTAAATGTGCGGTTTACAGCAAAAAACTATGGGGCACGCAAACGAACAGTAAAGGAAGACCCAAACACAGGGGGAGAGAGCAGGCAACACAAAGTGTCCCTGAGAGGGCCCAAATGTCAGACTCCGACAAGACATCAAAGCAGCTATTATAAACATGTTCAAAGAATGAAAGGAAAAAAATTTAAAGTCAGGGGCACCTAGCTGGCTCAGTCAGTAGAGCAAACGACTCTTGCTCCCAGGGTTGTGGGTTCAAGTCCCACACTGGGTACAGAGATTACTTAAAAAACAAAATCTTAAAAAAAAAAGTAAAAGTCCAGCTCTGCGATTTTACAGGATCAGGAATACCTCCAAATTTGCCCATGCAGAGCTTGTGAGAAACCAAGACTCCCAAATAATCCCCAGACTGTTTCACCATTCCACACTGTTTTCTTTGATAAGTCATCTGGAGGAAGAGTCCACAGAATCTAAATTTGTGCCATTAATGGGGACTTCTCGGAAGTTTTCTATTTAGGAAAATGGCACAATAAAAATAAATGGTCCTGGGGCGCCTGGGCAGCTCAGTCCATTAAGCCCCATGTCACATCGGGCTCTGTGCTGACAGCATGAGGCCTGCTTGGGATTCTCTCTCCCTCTCTCTTTCTCAAAATAAACAAACATTTAAAAGCAAAACAAAAAAACCACAAATGGTCCTACTATTTCCAGGACTTCAGAACCGCAAAGAACATATGTATCTCAATCATCCAGGAGAGTGAGGTTACCTAAGTCCTCTCCCTGAAATTTTATTTCTCATGTCTGTGTTTTGAATTGAAAAGTAACACTGTAATAAAAAATCTTTTATCTGCAGATGATGACTGTATGATGACTGTATAGAAAATCCTAAAGAATCCATTAAAAAACTAATAGAACTAATAAGTAGTTCGGCAAGAGTTGCAAAATGGAATTTGAATATACAAAGATCAACTGCATTTCCATATACTAGCAATGAATAATCAGAAAATTAGGTTAAAGCAATTATGTTTACAATACTATCAGAAATAATACTTAGGATAAGATATAACAAGAAGTGTGAAATTTGTACTATGAAAACCATGAAACACTGTTTAAAGATATTAAAGGCCTAAATAAATAGAAAAACATTGGCTGTTTATGGACTGTAAGACTTACTACTGTTAAAAAGACAAAATTCTCCAAACTGATGCACAGATTCAACACAATCCTTATCAAAATCTCTACTGGCTTTGATATAGAATTTTTCAAGGTAAAATTTACATGGAAATTCAAAGTAGCTTCAAAACAGTCTTGAAAAAGAACAAAGTTGGAAGGTTCATACATCTCAATTCCAAAACTGGGTACAAAGCAACAGTGATCAAGACAGTGTAGTACTAGCAAAGGGACTGGAGTGGGGACGGGAGGGGGTGGAGATGTTAATGGGAGACACCACATGATGTGAAGACGCCCCAGAAGCAGCAGGAGTGCCAGTGGAGCAGGGTGGGGGTGAGAAGACAAGGGCAGGGCATTAAAGTCAAATCATTAGGGTCCTTTAATGCTGGGAAGAAACGTCATATGTGTTCCATTGTACACTGCATTCCAGTGTTTTAGAAAATTAGCTAACCGTGGGGGGCACCTATGTGGCTGGATTGGTTCAGCGTCAGACTTCAGCTCCGGTCATGATCTCACAGTTCGTGGGTTCGAGCCCCTGTCAGGCTCTGTGCTGACAGCTACAACTTGGAGCCTGGAGCCCGCTTCGGATTCTGTCTCTCTCTCTCTCTACCCCTCCCCCATTCGTGCTTGCGTTCTCTCTCAAAAATGAATATGAATAAATGGTAAAAAAAAATTAAAGAAAAAAAAGGAAAGAAAATTAGCTAACTGTATGCTCAAGGCAGTTATGAGGCGAGGCAATGGGAAAAGGTGGCTGAGGTGTGTGACAGGAAGCCGGCATAGGATTCCCAGCTCCCGACTGTCCAAGTGCCCAGCGGGTGACCGCAGGCGCTGTTCCTCCAGGCCTTCCCGACAACTGAAATCTTTCCCAGTTTCTGTGCTGGTGTTTCTGTAGCAGAATCCTAGAGAATAAAGTCCCGAATGAGAAGAGCTGCAGTGAAAGAAGGGAAAAGGGTTTGGGTGCCTTCAACGGAGACAGAAACACAAGAAGTGGCTGGTTAGCAGGTGGATGGCTGGTGGAGAGGAGATGAATGCAAGTCTTGAGAATAAGGAGTTGAAGATGCCTGTGAGTCATCCCAGTGTATAAACCGTGGTGGTTAAGAGGGATCAGAGCTGGAAGCACACATTTTGGAGCCATAATCAGATGGAAGATGAGAATGTAGGAAATCTCCGAGATCATGTTCAAGAACAGAAAACTTTGGAGGGAAACCAAAGCCAAGACTGAAGAGCAAAATCCTACTGGCAAGACCATGAAAGCAGAGCCTGGACTGGGCAGTACCATGAAAGCCCAAGGTCAGGAGAGCCATGAAGTGTTCAGGAGCGTCACACGCAGCCTATGTGCACCAGCCACATGCAATGGACACACTTAATTTCTCTAAAATGGTTTAGACAAACAAGGGAAAGTAACAAACCTTTGGCCAATTGCATCCTATTTGCTGAAGGGGCTGTGGAAAATCCAGAGAACTAGGAAAGCAGTCACGGGTACCCTCTCATGCTGCCTCATCTTAGAATGAGTATCACCTTTCAGAAAGCAAACCTGAACAATTAAATCTGTTCATTTCCTTCACAGCTTCTAGATTTCCAATCCACTTAGAGAAGGCCTCATCCATACCAG